CCAGTGCATTCAAGCAACTTATGGTGCTTTTGCTGCCATTCTTGCATCTGGAGCAGTTGTGACTTGGGGTGATCTGGCGGAGACAGCAGCCGGGTGCAAGAGAGCTGATAAATGCCCAGTGCATACAAGCAACTCACAATGCTTTTGCTGCCATTCTTGAATCTGGGGCTGTTATGACTTGGGGTTATGCAGAATCAGGCGGAGACAGCAGCGATGTGCAAGAGCAGCTGAGGAACGTTCAGCACATCCAAGCAACAGGCGGTGCTTTTGCTGCCATTCTTGAATCTGGGGCTGTTGTGACCTGGGGTGATCCAGAATACGGCGGCGACAGCAGCCAGGTTCAAGAGCAGCTGAGGAATGTCCAGTGCATTCAAGCAACTTATGGTGCTTTTGCTGCCATTCTTGCATCTGGAGCTGTTGTGACCTGGGGTTATCCACAAAGGGGCGGAGACAGCAGCCGGCTGCAAGAGCAACTGAGCTTGACTCTTGACATGGGCGGTGCAAAGCTGGGGCGCTAAAGCGTGCTGAACGGAGAGAACAGCATGTGCACTCCACGTTTGGATTTGCTCTCCGAAGTGTTGATTGGATCGAGGAAGCAGCAGTCGCTGTGTTTTTTGGTGAGTGCCTCCGGTTATCAGCTTCCCCTTGATTGGTGGTTTGGTTTGGTGGTTTGTTAGGGGCTTTCTTCCCCGTTTGGTTTCAAAAGGAGCGGTTCAGATCCCACGCCACCAATCCACCAATTCGGGGGAAGCGGATTTTAGGGTTATTGCAAACGCTTCGCGTTGCCCACCTCGGCCAGTGCGGTCTTGGCTGGCTTTGAGGTATACACCGTGCTTTAGTTGGTCTTGAAGTCTTGTGTTCATTAGAGTGAGTAATCGGCGCCGAAATGCGTGAGCTGGTTTCCAAGGTAGAGGGTGGGTGCATGCCTGCGTGTTTCCACATGGCTTCAAGGGCCAAAACGAGAGCAGCAGAGAGCTACAGAGGAGCAGTGAGCTTGGGCCAAGCGAAGGTGCAAGTTTCTAGGGAATTTGATTGGTTTCTAGGGGGGATGTTGCTGTTTCTAGAGGGAGAATTTGACAGAGGGCTTGCTCGGCTTGAGGGCGGTTTCTAGAGGGATTTGGTCGCCTTCGAGGGGGGGGATTTGACCGGTTTCTCTCTCTGGACATTAAACTTCGGGGATTCATGTGCTGCAAAAGTTCCATGTCAGCAAACCCTCACTTGCTGCCTTGGATTGGCAGTTTGGATTAGAGCCTTGGGTTGGCGGTTTGGATTGGCGGTTGGAAGGGTATGAGACTACCTTCCCATGCGGTTTCGTCATATCATCGATCCAACTAAACAACCGGACCCGTTTCTGACCATTAAAAATTGAATCAGGGTGGATCGATGGTTGGTCCAAATGTTCAATCGAATTGGCTAAAGATAATCAAAATTAAGTTTCAGGGTGCTCCAAGTTCCGACCATTAAAACTCATAGCCAAATGCAACCGAAAGGCACCCCGCCGTGACTCAAGATGCATGCCACTGCGCCAAAGCCGAGCCCATATTCTCATGGGAAACTTGGCCGGCCAAACCCCTTCAGAACACCCGTCTGTCACATCCCTTCGAGAAAGGAACCTGTGCCGAGCCTCAAAAAGGGACAGACATGTTTGAGTTGTTCACAACGGGAGGAATCTTCGGGCGATTGTCACCTTGAGATCACATCGCCGGCCAAATTCGCTCGATGTTTTGCGGTGGCCCCCGAACAAAAAATGGATGAGGGTTCCGCAAAGTTTTCATGGTTGTGCTTGCACCAGCAAGACCTCCCCTGCAACTCTGGGGCTCCCAACACGGCTATGCCCTTATTCGAAGGCCACTTTTAAATTATGTGTGCGCAAAAAGAGGGGGGTGAAGATCCTTGAGCAATCTTCTTAGGCGGTGCCGTTTGGTACACCATTCTGCAAAAAATCCCAAACTGGACCCACCAAAGGGGATAGAACCCAGGACGTTTTAGGGTTTTTTACGCAAAGTCCCAAATTGGCTATTCCAGAGGTATCTGCCAAGCAAATAAGGAACTACCAGCCCATTGGGGGGAGTGTTGAGGTTCGAAAAGCAAAACGATAAGGAAGCCCGCTCTGCAGAAAATCATTAGGATGTTTTCAAGCCATGGGGGTCTTGAGGTTAGAAAAGCTCAGCCAAAGACAGACAGCCAAGGCTCTAAGACCTGAGGAAACCAAACGGGGGCTCCTTTTGGTGTTAGGGCTCCTTTGGGTTGCACGTGGTGTCTTGGGGGCCCTACCCACGAAAAAAATAAATCATCAAACATGTCTAAACAAATGCAGAGCCACGAACAACGGCACACGAACCATCAAACCTGGGGAACACACACACACACACACTTTTTCAAAAAGAAAAACCTACACCACCCGTCAAGGGGTGAAGAACTAGACGACGAGTGGCCCGGAAGCATAGAGGCAAGTTGATGCAGGTGAGGTAACTCTCGCAAAGTTAGCATGAGGAGTTGGCAGGCGAAGCAATTCTCAAAAAGTTGGCATGAGAAGCTGGCAGGTTAAGTAACTCTCGAATAGTTGGCTGGCAAAGTTGGCGGGTGAAGTAATTCTCGCAAAGTTGACATGAGAAGTTGGCAGGCGAAGTAACTCAAGAGAAAAGTTGGCATGAGAAGTTGGCAGGTGAAATAACTCTCAAAGAGTTGGCATGAGAAGTTGGCAGGTGAAGTAACTCTCGAAAAGTTGGCGTGAGAAGCTGGCAGGTGAAGTAATTCTCGAAAAGTTGGCACGAGAAGATGGCGCGCGAAGTAACTCTCGAAAGGTTGGCGTGAGAAGCCGGCAGGTGAGGTAACTCTCGCAAAGTTAGCATGAGGAGTTGGCAGGCGAAGTAATTCTCGAAAAGTTGGCATGAGAAGCTGGCAGGTTAAGTAACTCTCGAATAGTTGGCTGGCAAAGTTGGCGGGTGAAGTAATTCTCGCAAAGTTGACATGAGAAGTTGGCAGGCGAAGTAACTCAAGAGAAAAGTTGGCATGAGAAGTTGGCAGGTGAAATAACTCTCAAAGAGTTGGCATGAGAAGTTGGCAGGTGAAGTAACTCTCGAAAAGTTGGCGTGAGAAGCTGGCAGGTGAAGTAATTCTCGAAAAGTTGGCACGAGAAGATGGCGCGTGAAGTAACTCTCGAAAAGTTGGCGTGAGAAGCCGGCAGGTGAGGTAACGCAGTGGAGGTTTCTCGAAAAGTCTCGTAACTCTCGAATAGTTGGCTGGCAAAGTTGGCGGGTGAAGTAATTCTCGAAAAGTTGACATGAGAAGTTGGCAGGCGAAGTAACTCAAGCGAAAAGTTGGCATGAGAAGTTGGCAGGTGAAATAACTCTCAAAGAGTTGGGCAGGTGAAGTAACTCTCGAAAAGTTGGCGTGAGAAGCTGGCAGGTGAAGTAATTCTCGAAAAGTTGTCACGAGAAGATGGCGCGTGAAGTAACTCTCGAAAAGTTGGCGTGAGAAGCCGGCAGGTGAAGTAACTTTCGAAAAGTTAGCATGAGAAGTTGGCAGGCGAAGTAATTCTCGAAAAGTTGGCGCGAGAAGTTGGCAGGCGAAGTAACTCTCGAAAAGTTGGCAGGCGATGTTGGCAGGTGAAGTACCTCTCGAAAAGTTGGCATGAGAAGCTGGCAGGTGAAGTAATTTTTCGAAAAGTTGCCACGAGAGGTTGGCAGATAAAGTATTTCTCGAAAAGTTGGCATGAGAAGTTGGCAGGTGAAGTAATTCTCGAAAAGTTGGCAGGTGAAGTTGCCACGAGAGGTTGGCAGGTAAAGTATTTCTCGAAAAGTTGGCATGAGAAGTTGGCAGGTAAAGTAATTCTCGAAAAGTTGGCATGAGAAGCTCGCAGGTGTAGTAACTCTCGAAAAGTTGGCATGATAAGCTCGCAGGTGAAGTAACTCCTCGAAAAGTTGGCACGAGAAGTTGGCAGGTGAAGTAACTCTCGAAAAGGTGGCATGAGAAGCTGGCAGGTGAAGTAATTCTCGAAGTTTCGGCATGAGAAACTGGCAGGTGAAGTAATTAACCCTCAAAAAGCTGGAGCGGCGGAGGCGCTCCGCGTGCTACATTTGCAATTTACAGTTGCGATTTTCCAGCCATTTGTATCTAAAAGTTGCGATTTTCCAGCCGGAGCTGCGGGAGCACGCTCCGCGTACTACGTCTGTACTTAAAAAGTGCGATTTTCCAGCCGGAGCTGCAGCAGCCTCCGCGTACTACGTCTGTACTTAAAAGTTGCGATTTTCCAGCCGGAGCTGCAGGAGCACGCTCCGCGTACTACGTTTGTACTTAAAAGCTGCGATTTTCAAGCCGGAGCTGCCGCGGACCAGAATCGAACTGCTTCCAAAAGCCGTTTCGCGAGCAAGAAAATCGCACGGCGCCACAGCGAGAGCGCTCCGACACGCACGATCAACGCAGAGGGTTCATCGGGCTCAAGACAAATTCGCACGGCGCCACAGCGAGAGCGCTTCGACACGCACGATCTCCGCAGAGGGTTCGCCAAGGTCAAGACAAATTCGCACGGCGCCACAGCGAGAGCGCTTCGACACGCACGATCTCCGCAGAGGGTTCGCCAAGGTCAAGACAAATTCGCACGGCGCCACAGCGAGAGCGCTTCGACACGCACGATCTCCGCAGAGGGTTCGCCAAGGTCAAGACAAATTCGCACGGCGCCACAGCGAGAGCGCTTCGACACGCACGATCTCCGCAGAGGGTTCGCCAAGGTCAAGACAAATTCGCACGGCGCCACAGCGAGAGCGCTTCGACACGCACGATCTCCGCAGAGGGTTCGCCAAGGTCAAGACAAATTCGCACGGCGCCACAGCGAGAGCGCTTCGACACGCACGATCTCCGCAGAGGGTTCGCCAAGGTCAAGACAAATTCGCACGGCGCCACAGCGAGAGCGCTTCGACACGCACGATCTCCGCAGAGGGTTCGCCGCGCTCAAGACAAATTCGCACGGCGCCACAGCGAGAGCGCTTCGACACGCACGATCTCCGCAGAGGGTTCATCGGGCTCAAGACAAATTCGCACGGCGCCACAGCGAGAGCGCTTCGACACGCACGATCTCCGCAGAGGGGTGCGTTTCGTAAGCTCCCGTCGGGCCTACCCCCGCCATAAAAAGAAGAAGAATTAAGAGTCGAGAAGTGAAGGTAGAACAGAAAAGTTAGCTTGTGTTTTTAGGATAGTGAAGTAACACCCGACAAATTAGCTTGTGCTTTTAGTAGAATGAGATAACAGCCGAAAAGTTGACATGAGAAGTCCGACAAATTAGCTTGTGCTTTTAGTAGAATGAGATAACAGCCGAAAAGTTGACATGAGAAGTAGGCTCTCAGGACATGAGAGTAACTCTCGACAAGTTGGCATGAGAAGTTGGCAGGTGAAGTAACTCTCGACAAGTTGGCATGAGAAGTTGGCAGGTGAAGTAACTCTCGACAAGTTGGCATGAGAAGTTGGCAGGTGAAGTTGGTTGGCATGCCGCTTTTAGAAGAAGAACCCTTCGACAATGCCCGCCGCTTTTAGAAGAAGAACCCTTCGCAATGCTTCCGGGAAAAAACACATGAGCCGCAATCAAAATTAGAAATAGCTGCGGCCGCCTTCTTAATTCTTTACATGGTTCTGGGTCGACCATTTTAATACCGGGTTTCGATTATGACTCACATCAACCCAGCCGCGGGTTGTTTCGGTGCCGTAGGTATTTGCTCTTCCCGAAGGCGGCGTTGGGCGTTGAGCGAGTTCTGGGCCTCGTGTTGCTGGGCCTGGGCCTGGTGCTGGCGGAGTGGCGCGCCCGGAGCCCCAAGCGACTGGGCGAGGGGGGGGGGGGGGTGGAGGGGTGCGGGGGTTGGGGTTGGTAGGGTTTGCTGGGAGGGGATGGGGGTGGGGAAGGGGGTTGGGGTTGTGTGTGGGAGGGGAGAGCGGGGGAGGGGGGGGGGGGGGGTTGTGTTTGTTAGACGGTGCCCTTTTGAGGTTTGCTTAATGGGAAACCAACAGGAAATCCGCACTGTGTTCAAGCAGATTTCTTTGTTTTAGACGTGGGGAGGTTTGTTAGGTTTCTTTTGAATACCCCAACACCCCAAAACCCCATTTGGTTGGAGTAGTGTTATCATAGTATATCGTTATTGACCCCTTAACAATGCGTTATTAAGGGCTTATGCTTCGCCTATCCAGGGATAGCCGCATTCCCCCAATACCAGCCATGACGGAGAAAATCCACACGAGGATCTACTCTCCCAGGGAGTCCAAAGGCCGTTTCGAGCTACGGAGGCCCAAGAAAAACACGGGTGGTTGTTTTTTTCTACGTGGCCTTTGTACCGGGGCGACGAAACCAAAAGGCCGTTGACCAAAGTGGCCGAAGTCCCGAGCGAGTCTGGGCTCTGGGCTCTGGTTTTCAAGCTCTGGTTTCCTCGGGCCGTTTGCATCAGATGTATGGGTCAAAAATTGAACCAGGAATTGGGCCTCAGAGGTGTTTGGCCCGGCTACCCGGTTTTTTTGACCGGCCGGATTTTTTTGTATTTTTCAACCTGTTGGTTTCAAAGGGGGTCTATCACTACCGGAGATATTTCAATGTTTTCCCCACACTTAAGCACATGGAGGTACATCTTTGGGTGTGGGTCCAAATTAAGCCAGGATATGGACCGGTTTTGGTGCGCAGGGTTCCATGCACAGGGTGCCCTTTTTTTGGGGGGTGACCCTATTTTTGAATCGCAGCCCTTTGACTAAAACGATTGCAAACCAGACTTGACTCCTCGCACGTTGAATGCGCTTGGCTTCGGATCGCAGACCATGTCGGCCCCGTCAATGTCCGGGGCCCGGGCGGGCACGCTTGCGCGCAATGCTGCGCTTGCTCGCTCTTCTGCCTCTGGCCTGGTGCGGGGACTTTGACAAGAACTATTCCATTCAGGCCATGGGTCACCCTGGCAAATGGGAGCAAGGACCAAAGCCTGCGGTCCGGAGCCCACATCCTGGTTGGTGGTGTTGATTCTGAGCCATAATGTTGGGGAGTGAATAATAAAGGGCCCCCCCCCCTCCCCCAAACAAAATGGGGGGGGTCAGGAAACCCTAAAAACAAAATGAGGGTCAGACCGGGTCTTCCCTAAGTAGTGTATTGACTCCCCATTTATTATTCGCAACCTAACATGACCCAAACAATACGCGTCGATCTTTTTTTCTTCAGGGAACCCGCGTTTGGAGGCGCCAACAATCAGCCAGGTCTTTGGGGGGCGGCTTCCCCGACTTTGGCACATACCCAGATGGATGGGTCTGGTGACCCCTTCAAAATGCAGGTGTCTGTTTACCTCTAAAACCGCCAAAGAAGGGGTACCGTCAGAAAAGGACCAGCCACCCATATGTGGACATTTGGAGGATGTTGTTGAGGGAATCCCTTTGGTTGTCAAGGAAAACCAAAAGGAAGAAAAACACCTGTTCTGTGAAAAACGAGCCATGCAGATGGCTGTGTCTTATTTTGTGGAACCCAAGAGAAATTGTTGTTGGGCCCTATTTTGAGACAAACCCATATGGCCATGAGTCAAAATCCCATATGTTTGAACAACCAGCCCCGGGTGGGATTTTCCATTGGACCCAAAAAGTGAACTACTTGTTGTAGCTACGAACACAGACCGTTTCTTTTTAGGGACCGCTTCAAAACTGTTGTTTTTTGTTTGTTTGGTTTTCCTTCCACACCTTACCAACCAAAAGGAACACCTATCTCCATTTTCGGTGGTTTTTCCCCCGGAGAAAAACAACAAAAAAGACGCGTCGAAGGGAGCACCATCCAGTGGCCACGGGAAGTGCCACTCACATGTCTCGGGGTACATTCCCCATTCTTTCCAGGAATCCTTCTTTTCAGGAGACCATCAAAATCCCAGAAAAAAAAAAGAAAAAGAAAAAAACGGATCCGGTTTTTGAAAAGAAGGGTGGTTGAAAAGAATGGACAAGGAATCAACCCCTAGAATCTGCTTCAGCCGCCTAGCGGCGAGGCCACGCGCCTGCGGTCCGCGCTTCTGTCGCAGTATGACTCCGTGGTGCCCCCCATCAGCGATCGCCTGGTGAATCTGTACTGCGATTGGCGAAGGGATCTTGAGATCTTTGAACTTCTTTTTCCGGATTGCCCTGAGATTTCAGCTAGAAAAACCCAAGGAAGTATTCCCCCCCAAAAGTTGAGCGCTTTTTGCGGTCCTTTTTTTTTCTTTTTTCTCCCGCCAAAGGTTTAGGACCTTTTGCGATCTACAGCACCCAAGGAATTACTCCGGCGCAGGGACTGATGTGGGGATGCAGATCCGCTTCTTTAAGGTGTCTCGGTGTGGGTGGTTGGGGTTCGTCCGGGCGCAATGGAGGGGAGGTGGTGGGGCAGGCGTTGGTGGTGCTCCTTCCTTCACCAGAATTAGCTCCCGTTTTTGCTTTTTTGCTTTTTGGGGGGTTTCCTTTGTTTTCACTAACCAGGCAAAAAACATGATTTGCTGGGGTCCTAATTCCAGCCAAGTTTCGATTGTGGCGGCCTTCTCGCTTCTGGTAGTTTCGCAGAATGGGTTTGGCTCAACCAGCCCATCATCGGGTTCAACGGAGCTTTTTAGATCTCTTTAGTGGGTTGAGTGGGGGCTTAATGAGGGTTTCGTGACCCATTCATCAGCCCCAGTTTATTCATGGGCTGGCCCCTCCAAAAGTGGTCTGAGTCCAACCACGAAGCTGGGGTTGATGAATATGAGGTCAACTTTCCCCCTTTTGCTCAGCAAGGAATGACCATCCGGGTTTTGGGAATGAACCCAGGGGTCTTCTTGAAGGAAACCACCAGTTGGATGGTTTTTTGGGGCTCATTAACCTATTTTCTGCTGAGAACCAGCAAGTTTAAGAGGGGTTGAAGTGAAAAACACACTCACTTTTTTTGGGGTACCCCTACCCCCTACTCCAAATACCCGCTTTTTGTCAGCGAAGAACCCGGTTTTCCACGGTAAATGTTTACCTCTTTTTTTCTTGCCTCCTTTTTAAGTAGAGGGCCGACAGGTATTGTACCCCCTACTCCGAATACCCGCTTCTTCAGGGTATGTTTCGAAGAACCCGGTTTTCCATTGTATTTGGAGGTGACGGGCCCCGCTTGGCGCGTGTCATATCGCCGTCAGGTGGATATGGTGGCGGCCGCCACGGGGCACATGCGGCTGAAGGTCTGGGTACGGCTCAGCTGGGTGGACCAACGCCTCAGCTGGGACCCCGCGGACTACGGCAACATCACCCAGGCGTCGGCACCGGCTGGGCCGATTCGGCTGTGGTGGTCAAAACCGTTCAACGGGATCCCATTTTGGGGTAGGTGAATTCACCATCCAGTTTAGAACCTATTTTAGTGGTTGGATTGGGTCCCGTTCACTGGGGGGCCAGGGTTGTGGGATCAAGGGGGTTTTTCCAGCCACTGTGATACAAGTTGGAATCTCCCCCTTTATATTGGCTTACCTCTTAAAAACACAACTTTTCAACTTTTTGGGTAACATGGGCTATATGTCTGTAAAAGATTCACTTCCCCAGGGCTTGGAGTTTTAAGGGGTGGGGGTCAGTCTTTGGGACGCCTTTGCTTTTTTTGTATCACAGAAGTGGATTCCATTTCCCACAGCGGCTTGGGCCGAGTCGCTTTGGGTCGAAGGACTTGACGTGGCTCGAGCAAGATGCGGGTCGATGCGGGTCGATGCGGGTCGAGTCGGGTCACGTCCAATCAAAACCCCATGGCATGGGTGAAGGAAGGGACGAATTTCATTTTTCCATGGTTCAGGTGGAGTAAACTATGTTTAGTGCCAGGTTTTGAGTACTCGGCTGTCCAATTGTTGGTTTGGAGTGGTGTTCTTAAGGGGGTAAACCTCATGTACCGTCTACTAAAGCCGGGAAATGGTTCGAATCCCCAAAAGCCATGGTTCAGATCCCCGCACCAATCCAAACCACCAAGTGGGGGTGCGCCCTGAGTGGGCGCGCGGCACTGCCCTCAAGCCCCGGTGTTTTCGCCGCCGCGTTCCGAAAGCGCGTGGCAGTTGCGCCGCCAGTGGACCTTGTCCCGCAAAAGGAACAGGTTCTGCCGTAGGGTGAAACCTTTTGGTTTCCCCCTAAAATCTCACCAAAAAGGAGTGCCAACTCGAAAAAAAGACAGTTTTGATTGGTGGTTTGGATTGGTGATTTGGGGGTTGAACCTTTGGTTTTTGTAGAGAGTAAACGGGAAACTGCCCCAGAAGATCGCCAAACCACGAACCCAAACCACCAATTAGAGGGAAGCTGAGTAGTATTTAAGGTGTGTGTGTGTGTGAGTGAGTGAGTGAGTGAGTGAGTGAGTGAGTGAGTGAGTGAGTGAGTGAGTGAGTGAGTGAGTGAGTGTTTGTTTTTTTCAGGCTGCGTATCAAGTTGGTAATTTCAGGTATGGGTTTCGGAGGTATGCTCAAGTATACCACCAAGAGCTTGTAAGGCAGTATACCGTATATACCCCTCTGATATAAGTACAACCTGGTTCAAAGGGAAATCAAAAGGAACACCTCCTGTTTCTCTATCCTTTTTGGGCCCTGGGTTCCTTATTGTGACACATACCCTAGTAGTTATAGTACTACCTGGTTGAATTGGGTTATAGTAAAAGGGTAAGAAATAGCCCCCTCCCCACAAGGTCACATCTGCCCTGGCTCCTTTCCATTGGGGTTGTAGTAAAGGTAAGCAAGGGACATTGCCAACCACATGTTTTTTACGGAATCCGTTAGGATTCACATTCTAGGGCAGACTAACAGTTTATGAAACAGAACCAGAACATTTTATTTTTTTTGTGTACCCCCCTGGCTATGAACCTCCTAAATTGCTCGTGAACCTTTTTGTCCCCACTGAAATGAGATGTCCACCGGTTTGGGGCCTCATTGAGCTTCACAGGCAAGCTGTGCTTTGGTGTCTCTTTAACCCACTCAAACAACTGAAAACTGGTGGTTTCCCGTTGAAGCTCCAAAAACTGATTTCCTTCTTTGTCCCACCCCAAAAACTGGAGGTTTCCCTTTTAAGCTCACACAACGGGTAGGCTTAACCCACTCCCAAAAACTGGAGGTTTCCCTTTTAAGCCACTCAAACAATTGGTTCCTTTTTCGCCCACCCCCAAAACTGGTCTCGTGAAAACCCTTTGAGCCTGTCTTGTTGTGGTGTCCACTGCTTACGCCGTGCTGATGGCTCCCTTCTAGGGGTACCTTTCCCAGTCTAAACCCAGGGATCCGAATCTGTCTAGAAAACCTGGGAAAACGGATCCGGTTTTTGGAAGGAACGATGGTTGAAAAGAATGGACGAGGAATCAACCCCTAGAACCACCGCCTCTTTTTTCCCCTTTACTTCCCCAGAAGGATTTTTTTTTTTTGCATTTGTTGGGTCCATTTGTTTTCCACTAACCAGGCAAAACATATATATTGTTTGCTGGGGTCCTAGTTCCAGCCAAGTTTAAAGCCAGTCCCTGACGCGTTTGGGGCCCAACGCGCCGCGTGTCTTTCTTTTTCTTCAGGTGGTGTTCCGTGCCGGCGGCCTCACCGACGCGGAGAACTCCGAGATCTGGGTGCCGGACATAGAGCTCTACAACGCCAAGGATGGGATCCAGGCCACCCTGGAGAAGGCGCGAGCGAAGTGGGTCGGTTTGGTGTGTCGATTTTCTAGGGTCAAGGGTTGACTGGGCGTCGGTGTGGAGCTTGAAAGCCCGGAAAAAGGCGCGGGAAGCTCCGGAGAACGAAGACGGGAACCCTGTATTCAAGGCTGAAACCTTTGGAGAAGGCAGGGGAAAAATTATCTGGGAAGCCGGCCCCAAAGGCGCAGAAAACCCTGGGAAACCGGCTTTTGAAAGGCGTTGGCTCTGGAAAACGCACAAGGGTGGCCCAAGGGTGAACCGTTGGAGAAGGCGCGAAGTGGGCCAGTCGGTCGGTTTGGTGTTTGGTCGATTTTCCTATTTGCGCTATTAGTAGGTTGTACAGACTAAATATATTTCTGGATAGTGGAAACCGCCCTTTCAAAGGCGCGGGAAACAGGAAAACGAAAATAATGGTGGCCCTGTAGACCCCAAGAATCAAACGTGGGAGAAGGCGCGAAGTGGGTGGGTCGGTCGGTTTGGTGTTTGGTCAATTTTTCTATTGTACGGTTGTACAGACTGGACGTAATTTTGGATAGCATTGAGCATCAGAGAGGGGCAAGTAAGCTGGTTTGGTTTTGGTAGACGGCGTCTAAGGGCGTCTAGGGCTATGGGCTATGGGTCTATGTCTTCCACCATCAGCAAGAAAAACAGGGGGTATATAGCCTCACCAACTTTCGGTCGAAGTTGGGTGGACCCGGCCGGGTAGGTTGTACAGACTGGAACACTACCCCTGGATAGGATTAAACATCAGAGAGGGGTAAGTAAGCTCCCAGGCTTAGCTGTCATATTTCGTTGTTTGGGTTTCGCCTGGGGGTCAGTGAAAGCTTTTGAGGGGTGGGGGGACTTCCATTTGAGGGAGGTTAAATGGGAATATGGGGCCGCAACAGCCCCTTTGAAGTCCCTGAAACCAAATCCCCTGAAAGCTGCCCGGTGTTCCTCCCAGAATTGGCCTTTTTTGACGCCCCCAAGGGTTCCCTTTAGAAAAAGTCCAGGTGGTATCGGGACACAACAGCCTCGGAACTCCCTGCACCGAATCTCCGGAACCCTTCCTGAAAGCTGGCCCCCTACATAGCTTCAGAGCCGCCTCTCCGGGCCGGCCGGCCTTTGCCCCACAGCTTTCAGCTGGAGAAAAACGCCCCGAGTTGCCAGCAACACCGCTTCGGGTTGGAGGCTAAGGAACACGATCTTTTTTGCCCTGGCGTGCGGAAAACCTCGCCATTTGGGTGTGGCTCAAAACTCAGGAGGGGTTACCAAACCGCAGGTTTTGGTGCCCATGTCTCCACTTACCGATCGGGCAGCCCATTTTGGAACTCCTTTAGTTTTTTGAATTCGCCACAGCCACCGAATTTCGATGTCCACCAAAGGGTCCATTATTACATAGCCAGATGGGCATAGCCGTGAAACCAACAAGGGGCCCCTGCGATCGTTTAATTTTGATTGCACCCATTTCCAGTAACTTCAAACATGGCTTTTGTCTAGGGGTTGATTCCTTGTCCATTCTTTTCAACCATCGTTACTTTCAAACACCGGATCTGTTTCCCCTGGGATTTTGATGGTTTCCTGAAAAGATTCGGATCCCTGGAAAGAATGGACATCTTACCTCTTAAAAACCCAACTTTTCAACTTTTTGGGTAACATGGGCTATATGTCTGTAAAAGATGAAAGCTTCCCCGCTTGGAGTTTTAAGGGGTAAGAAATGGAAGGTACCCCTAGATTTTGGGCCTTGGCACCCTCCCGATCCCAGATTCGGGACTCCGGCTTTTATTTGTCTGGTGGCCGGCGCCCTTTTGCCCGGCTTGCATGGATCGCATCGGGCAGTTGAATAGGACTTGCCACCGAGTCACCTTTTGGTGTTTGCTGGTTCCCATGGGTTGTTTATACTTCCTCGGGCCAACATGGCATTTTACGAGTTGCAACCAAGTCAGGTGTTTTTGTTTTTGTTCTATCGGCTGGCTCCCTTGCCACAAAATCAGGTAAGTGGATCTGGGTATGGGTCAACATTAAACCACACTATGATCCGCAGGTTTCAGGGCAAGCCAGTTCGGCCGCCCGGGCCCTCGCGATTCCCCCCAAAAAAAACCGGGTGATAGACCCAAATGTCTGGGGTGCATTGCCTATTTGGGGGAAGGAACCCTCCACCAGCTTGGGTCCCCAACATATATATATATATGTACGAGACAGCCCTTCCAAACTGTTTGACCACCACACCCATCTAAGGATCACTTTTCATACCGATCGGTTCGAGAAAAGCTCCAGGCCGCCGCCAGCGTAACGAGCAGCGGGAGCGTCTTCTGGTCCCGGCCGGGCATGTTGGATACGACGCCCGGCGCGATGTTTTGGTCGAGTCGCGTTGGATCTTCGGCCACTACGGAGCCACAAACATGGGCTACATCTCAAAACTTCCCCAGCCACATCCTGAAAAGAACAATGGCGTATATATATATATATATATGCTGACATGAATATCTGTTATTTCCCCCTGTTGGTCTTAAAGGGAATCGTTTTTTACTACTGGAATATATGTTCTCAGTTGTTTGCAAGGGGCTTAAGCAAATGGAATTTTACTTCACTGTTCTTGGATCATGTGCTTAGGTTGTTTGGTTCTGTTGATCTTTAGATTTGGGGGCTGCAACAAGCAGCGTCCCTGACCCTCCCTTCCAATCAGTTTCCTCTTGGAGGTACCCCCTGTCAGTTGCCATGGTTGTTGGGAAGGAGGGTACCCTCCCTCCAACTAACATGGCAAGCCCCCTTCAAAAGGAAATGAATCTTCCAGGTACCTCCCCACAGGTGCCATGTTAGTGGGAAAGTGGGTAACTTGTGGAGAGAAAGGGAACTCAAGGCACACCAAAACGAAGGGACAACTTTTTGGTTGAACACGTGCTCGTTTTCCCCACGCAGCTTCTTCTGTGTTCCCACAGAATCTGCGGGGGCATCGCCAGACTGCCGCTTCCTATTGACCATTTTAGGTGGTTCCACTACCTGGTTTGGGGATTATAGTACCCTCCTTCCCACTAACATGGCAACTGTACGGGGGTCCCTTCAAACGGAAAACCGTCTTCCAGATACCTCCCCACAGTGCCATTTTATTTGGAGAAAGGGTAATCCCTAATCTCTTCCCCCTATTAATGAATGACACCAACTAATAAAAAAAATGGAAATCCGGGGCCCGGGACCAGATTTCCACTCCGCACAATTGATTTCCTGGAAAGCCGTATGGCCGTTTTTTTTTGGACGGAACCCGTATTTGGATCATTTTTCCCGTATGGTCATTTTTTGCTGGCCAATGGCCATATTTGGCCGTATGCAACCCGTATTTGTTCAACAAATTGTTGACACAAAACGTAAATAACCGTATGGTCATTTTTTGTGGCCCAAGCCATATGGACAGAAAAAAAACGTCACATATGGGTTTCCAGGTTTCCATTGCGCCAATACTAAACCAATACTAAAGTCTTGGAATCCTTATTAGGGGGCACTTTTAACAGGCTTCCAGCCCCCAAAAGGGTGGGTCCCCAATCCGTACATGCTGGCTAACCTGCCTGGCTGCAAACAAGCAACCAGTAAACTGAAAAACAAATAGAATGATACGTAAAATTTCCTTATTAAACCGCTTACTCGCGGACCTTACAATTCAATCCATTTCCTCCAAATCCAATGTGAACCCTCACATTGTTGGAAAAGCAAAAAAAAACCCAACCCCAAAAACCCCATTTGTTTTAACTATTTTTGGGAGGATTTATTTATAATAGGGGGGGGGGCGTATTTATTAATAGTTCCCACAGAATCTGCGGGGGCATCGCCAGACTGCCGCTTCCTATTGACCGTTTTAGGTGGTTCCACTACCTGGTTTGGGGAGTATAGTACCCTCCTTCCCACTAACATGGCAACTGTTCGGGGGTCCCTTCAAACGGAAAATTGTCTTCCAGATACCTCCCCACAGTGCCATGTTAGTTGGAGGAAGGGTAATCCCTACGTAGCATATGCTTCCTATCGTCAAAGTCCAGCCTGATGCTTCAAAGGGGAGTGGAAAAGGGGTAAGGATCTTCATAGTATAGTCTGCTTTAGAGCCATGTCAGTAGAACCAAAAGTCAATAGTTCACTTGGTTGGTATTTGACCCCTTGGTTCTTGTGGAGGGAAACTACCCCGAACAGCTAACCACCAAACCACAGCTCGAAACCCCCATTTAGTGGTCGTCGTTTTTTTTTTTTTTTTTTTAAGGGGGCGTTCAATCAATGGTTTTGGTTTTCCTATACCACAAACAAAAGGTACCCACTCCAAAATAAGCTCAGGTGGTTGGTATCCCCAACAGCGGAAATTTGCAACCCTCCCTGAAAGCTGCCCCAAACCACTATCGACCCCATAGCTTCCCGCTGGTTGGGGAGCAACCTTGTGGTTGTCCTTTCGGTTTTTCTTTGAAGCCACAACAACTGAGTACACTAAAACGTCCCCGAAAGAAGGGCACAGCCGCATCCTTAGGCAAAGAATGGTGGATACATTAATCCCCAGTGTTTTCTTCCATTTGCTTAATAATATGTTCTATTCTTCCCCTCTTGGTTTTAAGGGAATCTATCCCTACTGGACATATGTTATCTTTTTTCCAGGGGACGTATTTCGCAAATGGAAGCTTTAATAGTGAAAGCTGAAACCAGCGAAACCCCATTCGGTAAGAAGGTTCGAAGAACCCTTCTGAGGGAGTTGTCTTTTCGGTTTTCTTTTGAAACTACAAAAACGAACAGTTGGCACAGCCACCCTTGGGTTCAACCCCCACTCCAAACCAAAAACATGGCCTTGGAACCCAATTTTAGATGATGACAATCCAGGACACTCCCTCAGACTAACAGCCGGAAGCTCCCAGGACCCCTTAAGACTTGGTTCCATTTGCAGGATCGGCCTTCTGGGAGCTTCCGGCTGTGAGTCTGAGGGAGTGTGGGTAACTCATGGGAACCAGCAAAAGCCAAGGGAACCAGGCGATATAAAACAAACAAAAAGACAACCAGGGCAAAGAATGGCGGTAATATGAACCCATCCATGATTTTCAATGGCTGCCTGAAACCCTGGGGTTTCCGACTTGGGTTTCTGGGGAAAACCCTGAAAACCTGAGGGTTTCCCCTGCGTTTCTGGGGTTCACCTGAAACACAGGGGGTTTCTTTTTGGGTTGCTGGGGTTCAAACCTTACACCCCCGAAAAAAACCTGAGGGTTTCCCATGGGTTTCTGGCGAAAACCAGAAAACACCCAGACGGTTTTGGGTTTTCGCGCGATTTCGCCAGGGTGTCCGACTCGGGTTTCTGGGGCAAACCAGAAACAAACCCGAGACGGTTTTTTCTGCGCGCTTTCGCGCCTTTTAACGCCGCCAAAGAAGCGTCAGGATGTGCAAGTTCTCCGGACTGGTGGCTTTCCCCCTGGACACCTTGAGTTGCGCCATGGAGTGGGGTGGCTGGGGCTACTCTGGCGGCTTCCAGGCGCGGAATGCGAAAAAAAGCAAATCTCTGGGCCGCAGGGGGCGGGTTTAAGGGCTTCTTCTGAAAAGATGAGAAAGAGATTCTTAGGATTTGCACCCCCCCCCCAAAAAAAAAAATAGCGGAAAAATGTATGTGTATGTGTATGTGTGTATGTATATATATATATATATATATGGCGACGTGGCGTTAACATATGTTGGTTGCCAGTAAAACAGAGCAAAGCCGGGGTAGCCGAAGACCAGCCACCCTTTCGGTGTCCCCTTTCGCGATTATATGAAGCAGAGTCCGAAAAGTAATAGAAAAGCCTGTTTCCCCTTTCTGTGGGCCCAGACGTATGATTGGAGGACTCGAGTTTCTATGTTGGAGGTCCCAAGAGGTGATCACCTTCTTTTTTTCCATGGGCTGAAGCTTTCGGAGTGAGCAGGGCATCTACCTGCTGAATGGAGGGTATGCCTTCCTGCAGACGGAAGACACTGCTGGCTCCTCTTACCAGGCCGGGTCACTTCTCAGGGTGCCGGTCGGATTTTTGTGCATGGAAGTCCGGTCGTTCGGGATGTTTGTTTCTTTGTTGCTTTTGTTTTTATGGGACCCACCCCCAAGAGTAAGAGAAACAATAATGGTGATTTTCCTCTTGGTTTCCTTTTAAGCCCACCCCCTCCGCACAAAAAAAAAGAAGAAGAAGAAGCAACCAGAAAACAGAAGAAGGCAGCTCCCAGAAAGACGAGCCACTCCTGAGGAGTACTCCATTCAGGACCTGAGTGTCGAGATCAAGACGAACTTCTACGAGTTTTACCCCGCCGAGCCCTGGACGCAGGTGAAGTATGTGATCAAGCTCCAGCGAGCCAGCTTCTATTATTGGCTGCTCCCATTGGCGGTTCAGAAATGTTTTTTTTGTTTTTTCCGGTTTTAACTATTTTTTTTCTTTGTGTTTTTTTTCTTCTTCTTTTTTTTTGTTTTTTTTTCTGTTGGGTTTTAATAGTGGAATCCAGTGCGCTCAGCTTTGCCCTAGTTTGGACGAAATGGGGCTTACTTCCCCATTTGCTTCAACAGGAGCTGGGGTTCAAATCCATAAGCACCAATCCAAACCACCAATTGAGGGGACGTAGATTCACTGGACATATTTTCTTATTTTCTGGGAGCAAGGGGGCGAACAAGAGCATTCACGGAAGGCTGCTGATCATGCTGCCGACGGTGCTCATCACCTACCTCTCTTTTGGAGAATCTCGGTGCTTGAAAAAGTCGCAAGCATGTTTTGCCTCACTGAAAAATGAATGCGGATTTGTTCACGGGGAACACAATGAATGCCCTCAAAATGATTGGAACCTACTTTCCCTACCTGGAGTCTCGGTCCATGACCAACCATTATTTTGGGTCATGACCAACCATTTTTGAAGGGTCCTTAGGGAGACTCCAGGTATCAAAATGATGAGCGCCTCATCGCCTCGCCCGAGTTCCTGGGGGGGCTGTACTGTTGACCCCGCATTGATCGGCCCCAATTTGTTCATAGGGTGGTGTTTGGCCCCTCCAACAGTGGTCTGAAGCCAACCAAACCCAGAGAAAAGCAGCCCCTATGAAAAAAACTGGGGTTGAAATTCATGTGGGGTCAACAAAACGACTTTTTTGGGAAGCCCATGTTAGTGGCAAACAACCAGTGCGGTTGCTTGCTTCCAATCCAGGACACCCTTTGGATGGGTTCCATTTTCATTAACCCATGGTTGTTGGCGTGTGGTTTTAGGGGAACCGCCCCCTACCCCCCCTGCAAGAAGCAATGGTTGGCTTCCTTTTGGTTTCCCTCTGAAGAACAACCGAAAAAGGAGTTCCCCCGAAAAGCACCCCCAGACTTGATGGCCTTTTATCTTTGGACGTTAAGCTTTTGGGGGACAGGTCGGATTGTCCGAATTGGACCCACAAACAGTGATTCGCGTTTTGCAGAGGGGTCGTTGCAACGACCAAGTTTTGTGTTCATTTTTGGAAGGAGGAACCATTCCATTTAAGGAGTAACCATTACTGGTTCAGAAGACCGTTTAGATGGTGCTGGCTGTTTTCAGGCAGCAACCAAGCGGAAAGCTTTTCTTTCACCTACTTGGGTGTAGTAAGTGGTTGGTATCCTAGGTTACAACCCACTTCTAAGTCCCTTTTCAGTGGGGTTAACAGCTTGTTCTAACGGGGTGACAAACCCCAATGGCGATCACCATGATCACTTGGGCGAATCGAACATCCAAGTATCCAATCAAAGACGAGCCACCCATGTGTTTTTTGTTTTTGTTTTTTCCCTTTCCGGGACCTGGTGTCTTTTTTCAAAGCTGAAAACTGCTGGAATCTCTCAGCCATAACCTCCAGAAGGCTTGCCTTTCTAAGCCTAGCCCTGGATGGGACGTCGTGTGCCTCGGGCAGGAAGCCCCTCATGTTTATAGGGTCCCTTGGGCGCTCTTGGGAAAGCTCGATTCGGAGCGCTCCGAATCCATTCTGCTCCCTCTCCCTCCCCTCCCTCCCCCCCTCTCCCTCCCTCCCCTCCCTCCCTCCCTCCCCTCCCTCCTCCCCTCCCCCTCCTCCCTCCCTCCCTCCCCCTCCCTCCCTCCTCCCTCCCTCCCTCCCTCCCTCCCTCCCTCCCTCCCTCCCTCCCTCCCTCCCTCCACAGCCCCCATGACTCAACCCCCCCTTCCCCAAAACCCATGAGCCTTTGGCTCGCGCGATTCGCCTTCGCTTCGGCTCGCTCGATCCCTCCAAGGTCTTCTTCATGTCCCACGAGGTTGGGGAGCGCCTCTCCTTCGGCATCACCCTACTGCTAGTGGTGGAGGTGATGAAAGGCGCGAGAGAAAACGTCTCCCTTTAAATGAAAACCTGGACGCTCAATTTTCCAACGAACAAATGGGAATGATTGCAACCCAAAATGATGGCATGGGTGAATTGTCCCTTTTTTTCTTGGGTATAGTTGGAGGGTCCAGGTATGTTGCCTTTTTCCCTTTTTGGTTTTAAAAGGAATCAATTTCACATAAATGTTCGCATTTGTTCCAGGGATCGAACAAGCAAAACATGGAAGTCATGTCAATCAATTTTGAAAGGTTGAGAAGGTCAGATTAAGAGCAATAATCATCCTGGAAAGCCGTATGGCCTTTTTTTTTTTGGACGGAACCCGTATTTGGATCATTTTTCCCGTATGGCCATTTTTTGCTGGCCGGTGGCCGTATTTGGCCGTATGCAACCCGTATTGTTTCAACAAATTGTTGCCAAAAACCGTAAATACTGTAACCGTATGGTCATTTTTTTGTGGCCCAAGCCGTATGGACAGAAAAAAAAAACGTCACATATGGGTTTCCAGGATGATTGTCATCATATCCGGTACTGATTCAAGTCCATTCTGAACACCAATAGGATGATTCGTAACAATAATCATACTTTGGTGTTCGGCCAAGTTAGTAAGTTGTTGGTAACAGAGGTCAGAACAGTGGGGTTAATCTTAAGATTCCTGGAGCCCCGAAACGCCACTTTTTTTCGGTCAAAAGGCATATTTGGCATGTTTTTACCCGAAAGGTTGTTTTTTTGGGTCATTTGCCTTAGTTGCCCGTATTTGGCCGTATAAAACCCGTATTTTGTCGATAAAATATTGAACAAAAAGCGAAGGAACTCGTATTTGGCCGTATGACCACTTTTTTCGGGCAAAGCCTTTTGACCAAAAAAAAGGAGTGTGTTGGGGCCCCAGGTTGTTATTGGGGGGTGGGAAACCCCAATTGGCTACCCTCCCACCAGCTAAATGGAAGCGCACACACCCCGGTAGAAAGACGACGTTCCTCTTGGAAAGTGCCTTTTTGCACTTTCATGTTAGTTGGTGGGAGGGTGACACTACCTAACTCGGCTGGCCGATTATCGGCTGCTACCAGCACTCCACGCGTCGCCTTTTCCCGGGCCCAACATGCCGTCGGGACCCAACGGCTCTAGGTCCAGTGGTGCCCTTCTCTCCCCTTTTCTGGTTGGGAGGGTTCCCCTACGAAAATAGACCACAGAAGAAAAAAACGGGTACCAACTTACTTCACCAGAATTAGCTCCCCTTTTTGCTTTTTTGCTTTTTTGGGGTTTCCTTTGTTTTCCACTAGCCAGGCAAAAAAGATAATTCTTTGCTGGGGTCCTAATTCCAGCCAAGCTTATTCTAACCTCCAAAACTGGAGGCCCAACTGCTAGGCACGGTGGCCACCTTCGTGCCCGTCTGTGGGGAGCTCTTGTGGATCGATCTCTTCATGGCGCCGCGGGCCGAAGAAAACAAAACACCACGCGCCGACTGTCATGGTGTTTAGGTCCCCCAGCTAGGTGCCCTTTCTGGCCCCTTTTTGGGGGGTTACCCTACTAAAATAGACTACAGAAGAAAGTTGGTACGCTTATTCCAGCTGGAGGACCGCGCCCAAGTCATACTAGTTAACGACTTGGATGCGCCTTTTGTGGATCTCGTCCGTCCCTTCCGTAGTGCTTTGTTGGTACTCTTTACATATCCTACAGGGGTGGATCCACAAAAGCCGCGTCCAAACCGCTTTCCAGAGTGGCCCTTCTTTTTTCTCGGCGGGTTTCTTTGAGCCCGGATTCCGAGATGTCTCTTTAGATCGTTTTGGTGAAAGGTGGTCAGGGTTGTGCTTGCAAAGCTCTGAGTCATCCCTCTTTTTTTCGCAAGCGCGGTTTTCTTCGTTCTTCGGGAAAAAGGGGCGGGTAACGGTAAGGCTCTCGGGTTTCTCGGTTTCTTTTGACCTTCAACGACCAAACAAAGGGTCGCCTTTTCATGGCCGCACTTCGTGACCAAATGACCCCCAGAGACTACTTGAAGGGTCTATTTGCTGAAGGGGAGGGGGCTTGAAGCAACCCCTGTTTTCGTGTGTTCCGCTTTCCAGCAAGCTGTTTGCGGAGTGCCTTCCTTCCTTTTAGAGCTCCCAACCTCAAGGTGTATCACATCCTTCGCCACTCGGGAAGCCCTAAAAGGGACCAGCAGCCCGCATGCGATTGGTGCCCTGAAAACCGGCCCTTTCCTTCTTTTGGGTTGGGAGGGTTCGGTTCGGTGGGTTCCCCGACTAAAAAAACGTAGCCGCAAGTTTAAGTACCCTGATCCTAGCCTTGTCTACTGGAGGACCTAGAAAAAACAAACAGGTCTCCGGGCTCAGGGCTCCCTATTTTCAAGACACTCCCATGAGGCTGCTTTGCGGCCGGGGTTTGGATCTGGAGTCGGTTTGAAGTCCCTGGTTCTCGTGGGAAAATGAGTTGTTGTTTTTTCTCCCCGGAAGACCACCACCAAATGCAGGGTGGTGGGATCTCTCGCGGTTTCTCCAACCGCTTCTTTCAATAACTTTCGGGAATCTCCCTTATATATGGCTGTGGGTCAAAACCAATGGTACCATTTTGGGGTAGGTGCACCCCCCATTTTAGTTGATTTTAGTGGGGATTGGGATGTTTACTGAGGGTACGGGATTTTGACCCATGGCCATATGGGGGGTTGGTCTTTGGGAAGCCCTTTTTGTTGTATCACGGTGGTCATGTCCAGCCCTGACCAAATGCGAAGAAGCAATTCCCTGGTTCTTGTGGGTAAACCGGGTTTTCCCAGGAAGATCACCAAACCACCAAATGCAACAGGTGGTGAACACGCTCTTCTGCTGTTCATCTCTGCTTGAGACGATGCTTGTGCTCTTCTTCGCTTTTCACGCCGATGAGCACGCGTCTTGGCAGTCGGCTGTTCGGTGTGTTGTTTGCGGTTTATGGACCTTGTTGAAATAATCCCTGAATTCCAAACCACCATTAAAACAATGGTTGGGTGAGTATTGTGACATACATATATATATATAAACATAACCACCATTTTTTACCGTTCAGGATTGTCATCGGCTTTGTCATTTTTTTTTTGGATGCCCCGAACCGGTTGGTTGCAGGATTTCGACACCTTCGAAAGCCAACAGACAACTACAAACTGTTTTGAGGGTCCCCTACTCTTGGCGGTTCCCAGCCGTCCCCTTACTTCCATTTGCTTAAGAATTTTGCCCTGGTCGTTTTAAAGGGAATCTATCACTATTGACATATTTGTTGTTTTTTCCAGGTTGCTTAAGCAAATGGAAGCTTAGGTTTGTAGGTTTTTAGTGTTAGATATTTAACCCACTGCAAAGGGATATGAGGACAGCCCAGTATTTTGAGGTTCCCCCCAAAATTGCTGGCTTCCCCATACCAAACGCGGTCCGGCCACCATGTTTTTGAAGCCTAAATGGAAAAGGTACTAACCACCACCAATCCAAACCACGTAAGGGTTACCTGACTCTTTCTTGCAGGCAACCTTTCTTGGCTTGGTTTAAAGGGAAACCGACCGGACAACTTTCTGTTGCGCCATTCATTCCTATTTTGTCCAAAGCCACTAGTCCCAGGTGAGCTATCAAAACCCGGGTAGATGGAGGTTAGTGAGGGACAGTCCCAACTGTGTATAGGTGCGGATATCCGCCTTTTTAACTAATCCTGTACATGGTTTTGGGTATTGCCATTGTCCTTTTGCTTTCTTATCGGATGGCTGGCAAGCCCTTACCTGCCTTTTGCCAGGTTTGCATGGATGCGGGCGTTTGAATACAAGTCCTTGCAACAAAGTCACCTTGTTTTGCGTGTGTGTTTTTGTTTTATATCGCCTGGTTCCCTTGGTTTTTGCTGGTTCCCATGAGTTACCCACACTTCCTCAGACTAACAGCCGGAAGCTCCCAGAGGGCCTTCGTAAATGGAACCAGGTCTGAGCTTCCGTGGAATCGCCGAAAGGGCACAACGCCTGGATCTTCCGAAGTGTGTATTTCATCATGCCTTTTCGTGAACAGCTTTTGCAGACAAACAAGATATGGCCATGGTCTCAAGAAGAATATCTGTCTCTGAAAAGCATGATTGCTGCCTTAACCATGGCCGTATCTTGTGCACCTTTTTTCTGTCTCCAGGCCCTTGTCACTTTGTTGCTCTTTTGGAACAAATCAAGGAAGGCGAAAGCGCGACTTTCCGCGGCCAAACGGACAATTCCCGACCAAACGGCGCCAATCCCCGACCATGTTTCTCGCTAAATTTTTGAAACGAACCGCACTTTTGTAGTACAAGCTTGTTTTTTCTACCAAAGGACTGACACTTTGGCCTTTTCGGCGATCGGTGGGGAAAATTGCAACAAGTCACCTGGGCTTTGGTATCGGCTGGTTGGCTTGGTTGCATACAAAACCAGGTAGGCAAATGGAAATCTGGGTGCTGACCGTTCTTGATCTTGGTGGCTCCCAGCCATCCGGTTCCTTAGCTTTCCTTCTTCTTTTTCTTTCTCGGGTTGAGTGGTTTCCATTTAACCCCGACTAAAAGTTCTGAGCCCAGTGCAGCCGGGCAGCCCTGAATTATTGAAGCATGGGTGATTTGTCCCGACCATTTCGAAAAAATCGGGCAGCTGAGTCAGCCCAGGGATGGGTTTTCCAGGTTGAGCGGTAGTTTCCATTTCTACCCGCGTAAAGTTCTGCCAGGCCCCAGTGGTGACTCAGTCACCCGGGTTTCCAAAGCCTGATTGTCTTGGTTACCTACAGACAATCTCTGAAAATCAACTATATATAGGTCGTAGGGATAGCCCCTACCCCTTGCAACAAAGTCATGTTTTCCAGTAGTTCTTTTATGTATATATGTATAGACATATGTATATATATATATACATACGGGTTTGATGTTTTGTTTTGTTTTCGGCCGTTTTTGTTTCTCTCGATATTTTTGGGGCGGGTTTTAGGTTTCAGCCCGTCCGCCGAGAAGCGACTCGTCCGTCCGAGCGCGACGGCCGAGCTTTAGGTGCTGCCCAACTGGCTGGCCTGGCTGGCGCCCTGGGTCCTCTGCCGCCGGAAACTAGGTTCCCCAGCAGTGCCCTTTCTCACCCCTGTTTTGGTTGGGAGGGTTCCCCTACTAAAATACTTCCCCAGAATTCGCTC